CTTGTTTACCATATTCTTCATTCTTTCAAGCAGACATATTTATTTTCTATAAATACATTTAGATTCATCTTTAGGGCTACTGAAGTTTTTCAGTCAAGTCTTTCTTTTGTTGCTTGATTAACATCAACGACTCGGACAATAGCAACTAAATTAGGCTGCTATCCCTTTAAAACCATTTTGTGTGTAATTCTCCGTTCATGCGACGCGAAAGAGTACTCGGGCGCTGTGAGACGCGCTTTCCGTGTGTGTATGCTACAGTGTCTGCGCTCAGAAAACCGGACCGAATTGAGCTCTCTCTTGCGTCAACAGATTTATCCATATGTCTGGTCTTCTCTTACTCCCACATATTGACATTTTTTAACGTTTTATGCGACGTGCAGCAAGTGTATGTTCGTTATCATCTCGTTGTCGTCTGTGAAAAAAATGTAATTGACGAAAATTATGACGAAAATTATTCGTCAACGAAATTAACACACCCTCGAAGCATCCTAGGTGTATATGAGGTGTATCATCTTTCAGATGAATCCAGTTGGAGTTATATTAAAAATTGTCCTGGCTAATGGCTATTCCAAGCTCTATCACTGCAGTCAGCGGGTGTTGCAGTTGAACAGTCCACAAGTCGGGGACAAGCTCCGGGGGGTGAATAAAGGCCTTCTGTAGTGAATCCATGTGTTTTTGTAAGAAAAATATCCATATTTCAAACGTAATAAACACTTTTATATCACTTCCGCCAACTGTCATATGCGGAAGCCGTACCGGCGGATGACCTAGCACGTCGGCGTTGAACAAATTTAGATCAGTGGTGTGCACGGGGTGGGGGTAGTGGGCGGGTGAATGGGGGAGTGGGGCTTGAGCCCCTGCCCCTTTAATCGCCGACGCTAAAGTGCCCTTTAAAGTGCCCCTCCCCCCAACTTGTTTGTTTATTTTGCTATCCTCACTTACATACATGAACACTTTTATATCACTTCCGCCAACTGTCATATGCGGAAGCCGTACCGGCGGATGACCTAGCACGTCGGCGTTGCGTGATTAGTGACGAACACGGAGAGACAACAAAACAAAACGCCGGTCACGAATTAGAAGTACAAACCAAAGATTTGCAAAGAAAAATGTCGGAGGATTTCGATATAAACCAAGAGGAGACTGGTTTTCCTTTGCTAAAGTAAGGAAACTTTGCTTCCTTTGCTCCTATAAACAAACTCGTGAGACTAGCATATCTCAGAGGCGCGCGCGCTGCGCATACGTGCTGCGTCATCCGCCGGAACGGCTTC